AGGGGAGCGTACCATACCATGTGACAGGGGAGCGCACCATACAACGTGACAGGGGGAGCGCACCATACCATGTGACAGGGGAGCGTACCATACCATGTGACAGGGGAGCGCACCATACAATGTGACAGGGGAGCGCACCATACAACGTGACAGGGGAGCGCACCATACAACGTGACAGGGGAGCGCACCATACAATGTGACAGGGGAGCGCACCATACAACGTGACAGGGGGAGCGCACCATACAATGTGACAGCAATACAAATACATTGTTTTTATTCGGATACAAATGGATACATTGTTACAGCCACAAGACTTTTCATATAAAATATAATAGCGGAAGAAGAACGGAGCCGCCGTGACACCTGTACATTCTTCTTCTTCCTCCAGGTCACGGCTCATGCGCAGATTTTTTATCGGTAAAAAACGATCGGCCGATTTGCCCATCATTGCCGGGAAAATCAGCTGATCGTCAAAATCGGCCGCAAATTTTCCAACATGACCGATGAAAAAAAACTGCAAAAAACCCAAAAAACGGCCGACCAATTAACCCACTAACAGTGCGAAAATCGGCCGATTTTTGACCCATCTATGGCCGGCATAAGGCGCGGTTCAGATATTGCATTGCGGGAACAAGTGTCCTTGCTTGCGATTTTCACGGGTTTCCACATGCCGCGCATAGGGCAGCCCATTCGCTTCAATGCGCGTTTGTCACCCGAATAAGGCTCCTGCTGCTTTCTGGATGTCAATTTTAGCGCGATTTGCCGATCGATAATCATGGCAGAAACGAACAACATTTGGGGTGCCAGTCACGAGCTGGGAGCTTGTCCGGGACAACCTGGGATCAGAGGAAATGGGTTGAATGATGCTGACCATCTGACTGAGGACATCTACTGGCAGAATAAAAAAAAAGGACTGGAACTCTCTGGACTGAAGCTGAATATTGAAGCCAAAGCTGTTTTTTTTTTTTGGGGGGGGGTTCTTCATTTTTATTTATTATTTTGGCTGGAGTTCTGTTTTACATGATCCCCTACAAAATGAGTTGTAGATGGAGAGTGACACCACGCAGGGAACCTATAGACCGGCACGCAGGCCTTCACAAATGCGTCACTCCACTCCTGACTCATCCCACACGGACATCCCAGGCGCCGATCACCACACTCAGAAGTAAAAAAAAAATTAAAAATAAAAGCCGCACGCCACAATTTAATTTTCCTTTGTCTTTAATTTGTAAAAAAAACAAAAATAAATAAATAAATAAATGAATAAAGGCCGCACTCCACAATTTAGTTCTCCTTTGTGTTTAATTTGTAAAAATAAATAAATAAAAACTGAACTCCACAATTTAATTTTCCTTTGTGTTTAATTTGTAAAAAAACAAAAAATAAATAAATAAATAAAGGCCGCACTCCACAATTTAATTCTCCTTTGTGTTTAATTTGTAAAAATAAATAAATAAATAAATAAAAGCCGCACTCCACAATTTAGTTCTCCTTTGTGTTTAATTTGTAAAAAAACAAAAAATAAATAAAGGCCGCACTCCACAATTTAATTTTCCTTTGTGCTTAATTTGTAAAAAAAAAATCATAAATAAATAAAAGCCGAACTCCACAATTTAATTTTCCTTTGTGTTTAATTTGTAAAAAAAACAAAAAATAAATAAATAAAAGCCGAACTCCACAATTTAATTTTCCTTTGTGTTTAATTTGTAAAAAAACAAAAAATAAATAATCAAATAAAGGCCGCACTCCACGATGTAGTTCTCCTTTGTGTTTAATTTGTAAAAAAATAAAAATAAATAAATAAAAGCTGAACTCCACAATTTAATTCTCCTTTGTGTTTAATTTGTAAAAAAACAAAAAATAAATAAAGGCCGCACTCCACAATTTAATTTTCCTTTGTGTTTAATTTGTAAAAAAACAAAAAATAAATAAATAAATAAAGGCCGCACTCCATAATTTAATTTTCCTTTGTGTTTAATTTGTAAAAATAAATAAATAAATAAAAGCCGCACTCCACAATTTAGTTCTCCTTTGTGTTTAATTTGTAAAAAAACAAAAAATAAATAAAGGCCGCACTCCACAATTTAATTTTCCTTTGTGCTTAATTTGTAAAAATAAATAAATAAAAGCCGCACTCCACAATTTAGTTCTCCCTTGTGTTTAATTTGTAAAAAAACAAAAAATAAATAAAGGCCGCACTCCACAATTTAATTTTCCTTTGTGCTTAATTTGTAAAAAAATAATAATAAATAAATAAAAGCCGAACTCCACAATTTAATTTTCCTTTGTGTTTAATTTGTAAAAAAACAAAAAATAAATAAAAGCCGAACTCCACAATTTAATTTTCCTTTGTGTTTAATTTGTAAAAAAACAAAAAATAAATAAATAATCAAATAAAGGCCGCACTCCACAATGTAGTTCTCCTTTGTGTTTAATTTGTAAAAAAATAAAAATAATAAATAAATAAAAGCTGAACTCCACAATTTAATTCTCCTTTGTG